AAAAATCAGCTCCACTGAATAAATACCTTGTGTGCTGACATTATTTTAATCAAGGCATTTAGTGACTTCCTTCAGGAAATGAAAAAGCTGACGGGCTTAATGGGCCATTACTGGGTAAAACCAGTTGGCCTAATATGGTGCTGATTTGAGTTTATTGCACTGCTCCCATTTATATCTTGGAAATCTTACTCCAACTGATCAAATCAAAAAGAATAAAGGAACAGAAAATGTTAAGATTATTAACCCCATAGACGTAATGATATTTTTACACATGTAATCTTTTGTATAACAGTATGGCAGTTAACTTTTTATTAGTATATGCTTGCAATACATGATAAATACATTCATTATTGAGACTTGGAGTATAAGCATATTACACTTTGATCCTTCTTATCTGCCCTTTCCCTTCTTTCTTTCTCGTCTCCCCCATATCAGAGCTTCCCATCTCCACAAAGTCTATCCCATATCTTTCGTTGAACAAAATCTTCAGATAGCTCTTCGAGCCCAACCATTGATACAGCATTCATCAGGTCAATAAGCATTTGTTGAGCATTGACTATGTAAAATTTGAGGTCACGAGGAAGACATAAGGTTTAATTAGAAACACATTATTTCCCCAAGGAATGCAAATCCATTAGTCACGGAAGAAAACGTAGGTCATCCCTAGATTTCAGAAGAGGGGCTGAGGAGAATGAACACACGGCCCCACAGAGGAAACAGAACAGGAAGCTCCTCAGTCTGATGCAGTTAGTAAAACATGAGAGAGATTTCTTTTTCCCTATTTCCCAGCATACCTGTTCCCAGATGGTTAAAGTTCATCTGATCAGGGTCACGTCTCATTCCACAGTTAGGTATAGTGCTTAAAGTTAGTCCATTGCCTACAGTAGGCTCCAGAACAATCTGAGTATCTGAGGGTTTCGATCAATCCACTTTATTTCAAATGCCTGATACTGTAATTATGCTTATTAGACAAAGGTAGATGTGCATTCACAGATGCAGAAATGTGTTTGTACATTTGTGTGAGTATACGATAGAAAGATGGATATCTCAGGGACTTTAAGTGCATATATATTTTTTCAGACTAAATGTCTATTAGGGAATCAGTTGGTTAAAAATTCAGTTTTGCCTTGGTGCTTCTACAAAGCAAGCAGAATGAGAAGGCCCAGCAATGAAGGAGGCTGTCCAAGGAGCTTTAAAGTTCACTACAAGCTCCCACTATCTCAAAGATCCCTGGAGAACCTTAGCTGACTGAATTTCCCTCCACCAGCCCTTGGTTTTGTAAATCCAAGCTATTTTGGATGCACTTTTCCTATACCCTTGCCCCTGTCCCCAGTTACCAGGATACTTCATCTGTATCTTTAAAGTCACTTATCTCTCAGGCCATCAGCCTTCTGGAGACCTGACACCAGAGGCATAAGGTCCCACCATCCCTCATTCTATGTCATAATTTCTTGATTGTCCCCCAAGAATTTTGCAAGATACAAGCCAAACATTATTTTCCTTTAAAAATCTATCCTGCCACTTACAGTCTCCTTCTCTGTATATGGTGTTTCAAGCCAGCCTGTCTCCAAGATAGAACCCAATAATTACAGTAACCCTCTCCTCTCCCTACAATCTCCAGTCTGTTCGGTAACACCCAGGCATGGTGGTGCACACATACAATCCCTGCACTTGAGAGAGTGAGGCAGGAGAACCGCCATGGGTTTGAGGCCAGCCTGAACTACGTAGTGAGACCCTAGATCCATTCAGTCAGTAAATCCTGCTATTCTGCCCTAAAAATGGCTTTCTAATTTGTATCTTTTTAAATATTATTCCTACTGCTCCTGCCTTAGTCTAGGGCTTTACACTCTTTCACACCTAGATTATCACACCTTATATCCCAGGCTCCACAGTCCCCCCTTTTCTTTCAAATTTCCTTTCACACTGCAGCCATGGTTATATTTCCTGTGAGCCAATCGTAACCATAGGACCCTTGCTTTACAGTCTCTGCTGTCTCCTGGATGGCTGACCTATGGATGAAAGTCAAGCTCCTTAGCTTGACATCGAAATCACATAATCAGTCCTTATCAGTCTAGCTCTAACTCTCACCATTCTGTGCCTAACATATGTTAGGCACAATTCAATTGAACTTATCCTCTTTTCTTGAAATATCAAGAATCCCCCTTTGCCCGCATGTTCCCAGTCCTTTGGAAAAACTCTTACCTCTTGTCAATGCTTCAGTCAATGTCACCTTCCCTGTGAAGCTTTCTGTTTCGGGGGACTGCATGTTTACCTCCCTAGAAAATTCATATATTGATGTATATAGAAGGGTACCTGGGATAACTACACTGCTGAAGTCTAATAGTTTATTGAAAGGAACAGTTAATGCCTATTTTTCTTTCTTTTTGACCAGTTTTTCATGCTTATGTCTGATAATCTGAATGACAAATTTGAAGACAACAATATGCAATATAACAACTATTGGTGAATTCCTACCATCTTGTCTAGTGAAACTCTATATCATTTCTAATGAGTTTTTTATTATTATTTTTATTCTCCTTAATGGTTTGATCAATCTTGCATTCTTACATCTGGTAATCAGAGCAACTTCGTTGAAGATAATAATATGTAATATAACAACCATTGTTAATTCCTATCATTTTGTTCTGAAACCTTGTATCATTTTTATTGTTTTTGTTTTGTTTTGGTTTTGTCTATGTTGTTGGTATTTTGCTATTGTTCTTTTTTTATTATTCTCTTTAAAATACAAAAGTAAAAAAAAAAGTTAATATAGTGACACCCAAATCCCCAGTGTGATGGCATTTGGAGGCGAGGACTTTAGAAGGTAATTAGGTCATAAGAGGGAAGGAAACCCTTGTGAATGGGTTTAGTCCCCTTTAAAAAGAGACATAAGAGAGATGAGTTGTCTCTCAGCCATATGAGGACATAGCAAGAACATGGCTGTCTCTAAAGCAGGAAGTAAGCCTTCATCAAACTCTAAAATGCAGACTCCCCAGTCTTTAGAACCACGAGAAATAAATGTTCGTTGCTTAAGCAACCCCGACAACGTATTTTTAGCCTTAGTTACTTCACATTACTCTCCCTGAAATTAACGTCCCCATCTCCCCATCCCCAACTCCTTCATCCACAGCTCTGCTGAAGCACTTAAAGCCTAAGTGCGTCTTGTACTTATTTATTTCCCTGACAAATCCTGGGCCTCTCTCAGGCAGGAACAGAGTCTTAAGAGGTACCACCTAGCAGAGCAGTAAAGCATATGCAGTACTGGAATTCATGGGCGTCCATGTAGCCAAAACCATCACTGAGCAATTATGAGAAGGGCCCTGTTTAACTATGACTAACTTGCCGGATAAAACCTGAGCTTGCTCTTTTTTGTGAAGATCTTAGGAAATATTTAAATATATAGTAGGCAATGATTTGTTTGCATGGATTGATCAGAAGAAGCAAAAGAGATAAACAAACAAGCTAGGCAATCCATGCTCAAGAGGAGATAGTATATATTATTATCTACAATTTACTTTAAAATGCTTAGTATACACCAAGGCTGGCAACTTGAAGGCCAAGTATCAGTCTCCATATGTTTTTGTATCTAAATTTCTGTTTTGTTTTGGTGCTGGGGATTGAACCCAGAGCCTCTGGCAGGCTGAGCACATACTCTTCTACCTCTGTTTTTATGATTAAGTTTTATCAGAACACTGTCATGCTCATCCCTTTAAGTATTGTCTATGGTGACTTTTGTGCTTCAGAGACAGAACTGGAAATTGAGTGGTCCACAAGCCAAAAGTATTCAGTATGTGACCCTTTACCAAAAGAGTACGCTGACCCCTGGTATAGCACAGGTGGTATAAATAAATCAACAGGTGTGTTGATTTCTAAGCAATTCAGGCGTGGTCTTGCACTAATTGAAATTATTCATTTTGAAATCACAGCATTTAATTAGAGTATGTTAGAGGCCTTCTGCCCTTTTTTGAACCACTATAAAAATCTAGTGAGCTCCCTAGTCTATGCCCTTAGGAAGATATCCTAAGTGTGATTTCTGAATGACCCTGGTCCAGCTCCTGATTTGGATGTTTCTCAGGACCTTTATCTGATGAGACAGCCAGCTGAATCCTGATATTAGAATACTGTGCACTTGCTACTGGTGACAAGTTCTTGTAAATGAAGAAATAAATGGTACAGGGACTTCGCTGAACTTAAAGAATAGCGGCATGACTGTGAGCCTGCTTGCTAAAGGGTGTCCATATGTGTTGTAGAATCCAGCTTAGATTTACATTACCTATAAATTGGTGAGGAAGATTGTAGCACCCACCTGTAGCTAAGGGGGAGCCCTCTAGTTTTCACCTGAAGAACATACTAGTTGCTTATGATCTAATTGGTTAAGTGTCTTCCCAGAAGCTCAATATAAGGAAGTCGTATTTGTCCCCATTGATTCAGGAGGTCATTATCCCAAGGACTTGTGACCAGGGAGCTCTGACACAGAGCATCCACCTTGCACCACATGCATCCAGCCTCCATCCCAGCCCCACGCTGAGCAGAGAGGTGGAAGAGTGTGCCTGGGAGTGTGGGAAGGTGGCAAGACAGACATGTGTAAACTCTGGAAAGATGTAAGAAGGCACAAAGCAGAACATGGATCCATGGTAGAATGAGCGAGATTTGTAGCCTGGTATGAAAGAATCTACAAGGCACAGTAAGTGAGCAAATTCAAAGAATGCAGTGTTAATCTGTCCTAATACGCATGATTATTTCACTCAGGAGAGGTGTATAATACAAAAATATTATTTGCAACATGTAATAAATACTTATCAGATATAAACACTTTTTAAAAACCCCATACTCATGTTTACAAGCTGTAGAGTTATTTCAGACCTGGAAATAACTCTAGCCAAGGACGTGAAAATGCATGTATCCCAGCTGATTATGACAGGGCAGAGAGAGGAACTTTGATGTAAAACAGACAGAATATACCACTTTACACCTGAAATGTAAGCAAGGCAGTTACTTACTGGCTCCGAAACTTCTTTTGTGGGCTCTGGAGTGGATTCGTTGAGTTCTGCCCCCAACACCCCAAGCCCAGGTCGAAGTGAGGCTGTACCAAAAACTTGAACAAGGTAGGACTCGAAATCCTCACAAATTTTTGTAGACAACTTTTGCTTCAGGGTGTCTTTAAAAGAGAAGTAAAAAGGGAGATAGCAGAAATAATAAAATGCTACGTAAAACCTGTTTAAAGAGGGGAGCGTTCCTAAAACAAGTAACGTCACATTATGTGGGATCAATTGCTAACGTGAACTAATTTAGAAAGCATTTTTTATAGATCTGTCAGAGGTTGTCTAAAATAACTACTTAATAACACACAAGGGTACAAAGAGACAGAAGAGTCACTTGAATGCTTGTTTATACCAAGTGTCGAATAATTGAGGATTACTCTATGAAATGGGCTAGCCTCACTCACTATAGGTAAAATAAGCTATTACTTACGGTTTTAGGATAGCAAAAGTTCATCCAGTCCAAAAATATATTCCTCATGTTAAAAATTACAAACTCACTCAGGTAAGATGTCAAAGTTCTTCCATTGTTAAGATATAACTTTCTCTGAAACATGTAAGACTTGGGCCATTCTAACAATGTTTAGCTCAGATATCAGAGAAACCACCAGTCACCCAGCAAAGCACTGGGGAAATGAGACACACCATGCTAGAAAGCTCTAGAGAAGGAAGGAAAGAGAAAATGGAAAGCTTTCTGAGCCTAGAAAGCTATCCCTAGGGTGGTGGTGCTGGCACCTGCAATAGGCAAGGCATGGGGCACTAGGGGCCTTTGCCCGGCCACAAAAGCCCCGCTCCCAGGTAGGTGGCAGAGGAAGGGTGACAGCCTACTGAAGCCTACAACCGCGTTAGCACAGCTTTTCCTTACTTCACAGCTTTCGTGGACAGGCCCTGCCAGAACGAGTCACTGGTTTCCAAACACTTGGAATATATTTCATCGTAAAATCATACAGACCCTAATCACAGGTGAGTCCATGTTTTAGGTTACCTCTTGAGTAGATATTAGTTAATGTGAAAGAGTGAATTTAGCCTAGGGAAGGGATCAGATTTGCATTAGCACAATGCATATCCAAAAGGTGGTTCTTTAAGATAAAATCCTGACATCAACCTGTTTTCACCAAACCAGAAGCTAGAACATAGCCTCTAACTAATCCCAATTACTTGTGCCTCTTCTCACTCTAGATTATTACAACTTTATTATTCAACAAGAATCTTTTTAACTTCATTTTGATTTGAGGGTTGTTTTCTGCCTTGCTGTTGGCTTGCTCTATCCCTTATTGTAGCTAGGTAACTTTTTGAATATTAACCAATCTTAGCACTATCCCCAAATCTTATTCTTTCTCTTTATTCTTGTCTGTGGACTATGCTCCAGTTAAAAAGGCCCAAGGTCAACTCACCACTTACTACCCATCAATAAAAAGAAAGAATTATCTTGCCAAACTGTTTGGTACAAGACTTCGCTGCCTTCTGTAGTTTATGAGTTACAATTTAATATTATCATAATAAGCCTCATTACCCTCCTAATTTCTATTTTTGGTCAGGATAATCCAGTAATGTAATGCTTGGGAGAACAAAGTTCTTTTTCCAGGGACAGTCTTACCTTGCAGGGTGAAGAAATCGTCGAACTGGTACACATGCTCTGGGTCAGTAGCAATTACCCTCATTTCTTTGTGGAATATTTCAAAATGGGGGTCATTTTTCTTCACCACCCCAATCACAAATCTCTCCACGTTAGCGTCATTAGCATCTTGCACCACTTCTGTTAGTTTCTTCTGATCTCGGGAATCCGTCTGTCCATCGGTGATAACCAAGGCCACCTTCTTTACACCTGGCCTCGCGTCCTTGAACATGTCATTGGCTGCCTGAAGAGCCGTGGCTGTATAGGTGCCTTCCCCCAGATACTGCATGGTGTCCACAGCGAGCTTGAAGTCATCCTTGCTGGAGAACTGCTTCAGATCAGCCACCATCTCCACCTTATGGCTGTAATTGATTATGCCTATGCGGGCTGTGGCAAGGTCCAGGGCAACTCGGTCAGCCAGAGTCTTCACAAAATTTTGGATGATCTGGAAGTTCTCTGGCCCCACACTTTCTGAACTATCAATCACAAACACCAACTCCAGCGGTGTCTCTTTGCATTTGGGTCCACAACCTAAAAGGTGAATACTGAGATGGAAATACTGCAGGAATCAAAAGAAAAAAGCCATCCCTAAAACATGCCATGTTGGATGAGGGGGCAGGAAGGGGTGAACCTGAAGTCCTTTTCTGAGACTGGAAGCCACTGAAAACTGTCTACATTCTGCTTTCTATACTAGGCTCTTTTTGGAAAAGCATGTATTTTTGAAGGAAAGAAAAAGACATTGCAACAGATGAAAATAATAAACAACTATGTGTCCATTCCTTAAATTAAAACAAAATACTTTTTAAAAGTTAGCCTGCCCTATACTTGCCTTCCCATTGATACTCCTCTCCCTCACCCCCTATGTACTACCCTAAATTTGGTCTTCATTCTTCCATTTGTGTTTAATCTAAAAGCTGATATTTCAATCTTCAACCATAGGCCTATTAGAAAACAGAGATTTGATTGCTAGCATGGCCGATGGATGAAGTAATGGGATGAAAATTATTAATTGTGGGGAAGCTTTGAGGCCTTAAACAGTGCACAAGACTAACTCTCCGTAAGTATTCTACTTTAGTCCGTCACCCACACTGACACGCTGGCTTTCATGATATCAGAGAGGCCAGCAGTCCATCTGTACTACCAGGTAACTTTTTTGAGAGGAGTGATCCGAGAGAATACTGTGAATAAAAAACTTATCTTCAGATCATTAAGCACTCATTCAGTGCAGTTTTGAGACTCCCCAGAAAATAACAATGATCAAGGTTTAACTTCCTTATTTATATTCGCATGTTGCCCAACAATCCTGTGACAGAAAAGCGTCAGGAAACTGGGTGCTATTTTTACAGGGAGCCTGGAACTCAGAAGCCACATCCAAACTGGCCCATCCCTGTAGAGTCAAGCTTTTAGAGGACAAGCCAGTTCTAGGGTTCTCCGCACGGAAAGATAATAATATTCCTGCCTCTGCGTAAGCACAGGAGCTTCCCTTGTCATTATTCCATGGATCTGTTCCTTTTCTCTAATCTCTCTCTCTTTTTACTTCCTCCCACTGGTAACTATTTTTCAGTCTTAAATGTTCAGCCAGAGAAACATTTATATAGAGTTGTGAGGCAAGATGAACACCTGAATGTCCTCTTGCCTTGGTGATTAAGGGCAGGTCTAGATATTGTGCTCAAAACTCAAATCAGAAAGATTCCTTGGCTTCAGCAAAAACACAGATATCATAACCAGCATAATCAGTAGAGCTGGACTGGATTCAGACTGAGTTGGGCGCTTGTCATATTTTCTTTGTTGCGTTTTTCTTCCCAAGCTCAGGTAAACGGCACTGACTACACATGAATACAGTGCTCCCAAAAGACTGGTTTCCACACACTCTGGCCCGGTACCTTCACATTCGCTAACTACCCTGGGACAATGAGTTCCTTTCCTCCAATCAGAGTTTGCAAGGTCTGTCACTGCTTGCTCTGTTTCTCTCTGACTTCAAAGGAACTTCGTATCTCCCCAGCAGCTATGTACTGTTTCTCTTCCGAGTAAACTCATTATCTTACCAACATAGCACGTAGTAAGGCTGGTACTTTAAAAGGCTAAAATCTTACCACATATTTCAAAAATAAGTTTGATAATTTCTTCTTTCTGGGGGAAAAAGGAAAATAAATTAACATCAGATGTATGACTATAGAATTTTTTTTCCTATAGTAAACATGTGTCTTATCACAATCAGCACTTAATCCTTCCACTGTAGAAAATAAAAGGAATAGCACAGAAGTTAAAAGTTGGACATAATAGATCATAACTAAAATGAGACTGAAAAAGGCCAACACAACAGTCAAGAGTGTTCAGAGAAAGACAATGCAAAAGGAATTCAGAAACAGACTAGGTACTACTGTCCAGATTGTAATGGTGCATTGTGTACTGAATGTGTTAAGATGTACCACACCCAGAAATTATGAGATACATTTGATAAAATTGTTTTCATATTTCCTGTTATTAAAATTAACTAAAAAACTGCAAAATAAAATAAAATAAAATGAGATTGAGTTGTGATACTTAACAGTTCAAACTTTTAGAGTTCAGATTGCAACTCTAGCACTGGTAGTTGTGTGGCCTTGGCAATTTGGTGACCTAATAATAGCTGTGTCCTGGGGATGTGCTCCAGATTAGATGAGGTAAAGTACAGCACTCCTAGCACAGGGCCTGGGTCCACTAAGCACTGCCTTTGGTGATGGTGCAGTAAGTGCTTTTGGCGATATTATTTATACCAAATGTGCTGGGCAACACACAAGCACCAGGGCCTAAAGAGAACTCATTCTATGACATATTCCCTCCTCTTTTCCTCTACCAATTTCCAATTCTGAAAGTTCACTCATCATCAGTTTCCAACTATTCTGATTTTGGTTCCTCCACAAAATGTCTTAGTGATACCAAATATGCCTCCCTTGGTTGCCTTGCTGCCTCAGCTCCCTCTGAAAGGCCTGTGATGGGCTGGGTTCTAGCAATGAAGCTGCGAAGCCCTGCCCTGTGCGTACAAGAGCCTGGAATGAGACTAGGGAAGACAGGGTGCTACATTTGCCAAAGACATGATGCCAAGGAAGGTGGTTAAGAGAAGCTTAGGTCTCAACAAGGAGGAGCAGTAAATTCAGTCTAACAGAGTAGAGTTGAACAGATGCAAAAGTGGTTTTGAAGAGCGCACCTATAATAACAGAACTGGGAGTTAGAGGAGACACAGCTGTTGATGTGACCTAAGAGCAATATATAGCAATGAACTATTCAGATCATTTTCATCTAACTCAATTTTTTGCATTGTAAATTGAGTAAAAAGCAGTGATTCCCATTGACTACTTAAAAAGAACTCCACTACAATGCTGAGCTATAGTAATAAAATCACATAAAACAAGGGAGTCAGCTGTCATCTTTTTTTTTTTTTTTGAGGCCTTATGATACTTTTCAACATTTAGAGAGACATTTAATGAATGCAAAACTAGAATGCATACAGAAAGGGAAATGTGCATGTCTAGAGTCAGTATATCTAGAAAGAGGAAATATATGCATTTATGTATTTATATTTAATTTTCTACATGTGGAGAAAATACTCTTTGCCACGTTTTATTACTGTAGTTTTTCACTTAACATTGTAGCACAATTTTCTATATTACTACGTATTCTGGAAAGCTTGTTCATGCAAGTCAAATGCATGGTCTTTTGTAAGGCTCTTTGATGAGCCCTGCTATTCTACCCTCTGGAGAAGTTGCAGTAACCGGTCCCTCCAATGACAATACACAAGAAAACATTATGAAGGGAGCTTGTGCAGATGATTAGGCCTGGCTGAGTCTGATGCACATAGAGATCACGAACAATTCCAGTTGTCATTATTACTATAAAGTCATTACACTTTGATACAGCAAAATATGTTTTAAATTGTATTTATTTGTTAGTGAAGTCAAATTTTATTTCCGGTGCATGCTTCTAAATTGTATTCTCTCATGCACAGTCTCTGTACATCCTTTATACCATTTTTCCATTGGGATCTTTGTCCTTTACTTCCTTATGAAAACAAGGCATATGTTAAGGTTTTTTTAATCCTTTCAGCATAGTTTTATGGAATAATCAGGTTTAAAATGCTTTAATTAGTTGCACACAGCAGTCTTTTCTTCATATCTTTGCTTGTAAGTGACTGAAGTGGTTCATTCTCACAAAATTGCTCAGTAACTAACTGCCTCGGCCACTTGGTGCCAACAATCAACTCTATACCCATGCAAGGATTTAGTGCCCAGTAGGAACCAGACGAACGAGCAAAGGACTTTTGTAAATGCTACACAGGGCCAAGAGCTATGTGGGTCAAATGGAATTTTCACAGGTCAGGAGAATGGGGTGGGCCAGTGGGTCAGAAGTCCAGGGAATCCAATCACTCTGACCAGTTTTGGGGAAGCAGGTGAACAGTTCAAGCAGGTGGGACAGCATTCACACAAAGCACACTGCCTTAGAGTACTTGAATGGACTTGTGACTCAGGGTGTGTGGCAGAAAGAAGGACAGGAAATGCGGAAGAATGATGGACTCTAGAGGCCTTGTGTTTCATGCTGAAGGTGTGAGCTTGGTCTTGGGCAGTGAGACACACATGATCCCTAAGCAAAGAGAAGCTCTGATGTTATTTTTGTTTAAGAGAAATGATCACAGTGACCAGTGGCTTAAGGTCCTGAATAGTTCAGGCAAAGAAGAGGAGGGCAGAAGGCACTGGGAGTAGTGATGGATGGGGAGGACTGGCCTGAGGGAATTCTCCAGACAGGAAGTGAAAGAGCTGGTGGGTAACTGAAAGAAAGGATAAAGCCAAGCAAGAATCTGGAAGGAGACAGACAATGGTAGAGCCTTGCTCTGAGACACAGAGGAATGGAAGAGGGGTAGATGATTGGTCCTGGCTGAATTTCCTCAGCTAGCTGACTATTTACTCAACTTTTCTGTCTGCCATAGCATGTGTTCATTGCAAGCAGAGACAATACTATAGCTCCTCGTGGAGCTATTGTGCAAATGAACGGGGGCGGATCTAAGCAAGAGAATTATTCAAGCTGCCCCATTTGTGTGCTCCCCATTTGAACAGCCATGCGCACCAGCCTGCCCCATGCCTTTTGCACCCTAGCCTCCCAGCATTTGTGCAGCATTCCCAGTCCTCCCTTCCAAGCCCGTCCAAATCTCCTGAAAACACTTGCCCCTTGGCCACCTCCTGAATGATCTATGAATACAGTGCTGTGACCTGGGGCCCTCTGGGCTGAGAATTTGGGGGTCTAGGGTGGCCAGACTCCACTCACAGAGGGGATTTATGAATAGGGTGGTCACATCCTTTGGCCCCCATGGGCTCCTCACTAGAGCAAAGAGTTCAGCTGGAGAAGGACCAAAGGTCAGGGTCTCTGAAGCATGGGCCCCTAGGTAACTGTATTACTCAGAGAGTGTGCCTGTCGTCTACTACATTGTTAACTTAATTCAAGTTCTCTTCTCCTACACTATTCCCATCCTGCTAGTCCCTTTTGCTAGAATCTAGAAAAAAACAAGGTCAACAAAGTGAATTTCCATTTCTAAGCTCTCTACCTCTTAGTTTAAAACCCACTCTACAGATAAAGGTTCTCTTGTCCCAAACATTGTCACAAATCATTTACTTCGGGATCCCCTCTGACCACCTCTTCCACCATGATGTTAGGTGAACATCCTTTGCATTTTTCTCTCCACTAGGCTGATAGCTCCTTGAGTCCAGGAACAGTATCTCTTATTCTCCGCTCTTTCCTAAGTGTCTATCTCAGAGCCTGACCTCCAGTAACTCCCAATACATGTTGGTGAAATTGAATGAATGAGCAAATGAACAGGGAAGCAAACCAGTCCTACTCACCATGCTGGGGCAGTAGGGCAGGTATAAACCTATGAAGACTATGCCTCGGTCACTTACATACTGTCTCCCTTTTTACTCTTTGAAGGAGTGGAACGTATACCATATACATAGCTGCTTTACTCACTGTAAGCATCTCTGGGGGTCTGACTGGCGGTAGGAACAACAGAAAGAAAGGCAGAACACACATGCAGTCATCTCTGTCACATTCCTGGCCTCCTGTTCTTATTGCTGCCACCTGAATTCCCACCCTTGCTCCGAGATTTTCCTGGCATAGTACCTAGAAAGGATCAGCATCTCCAAACCATGACTCAAGGAAATACCAGAAAATAAAAATTAAAAAAAAAAAAAGAAACAAGGTGCTTCTTAACTGTAGGAAATATAATGCCTTCATATCAGCAGGGAGGAAGTAGAATTTACTGTAGAAATTCAAGAATCTTCCCACCCATGAGAATTTGAAGAGCCAACTTTTTATTTTTAATGGTGCATGGAAAAGAATAGGAAAAAGGTTGTGGGTGCTTAACCAATATTTGTTAAACAGGTGGATCAATATATAAATCTAACCCCATGTTTATTTGCTGTTCTCTTCAGAAGAGTTCCTAAAAGAACTAGCTCAGGATCACATACAATAAAATGTCATCTGGTCATTTGGCTTCTTTTAATAGCAATGTGATGACTACCAGGGGTAAGAGGGGAATCGTCATACACCGCCACCAGGAGGCTGGGCAACACTGCCTGGTGCTATGCCTTCTCTGGCATTCACATTCAATTACCTCCTGCATCTAAGTCAGTGCTGGCTTGCTGGTCTTCACTATCATCCAAATAAGAGCTAGAATACTGCATGGGAAGACTCACAATTCCACAGCTCAAACATGAAAGCAGTAATTTTGTAAGCACAAGCCCCTCAATTATCCCCTACAATAGATACTCACTGTAAGACCCAGATCTCCTTTTGGTCCTTGTAAACCCTACGTAGTGGGAGAAGGGTAAAAATTAATATAGTTCAGTACCACTTACAGTATAAAAATCACAGTAGTGAGACTTTAAAAATCATTTCTTGCCTGTTTTCCCGGGGACCCAGGCTCTCCAATTTCTCCCTTTTCACCTTTCTTTCCCACATCGCCCTGTTCTCCATGCTCTCCCTTTATAAAATGGGAAAAAGAAAAGTTTAAAATGTGAATACTAACACCCAGGAAGAACCTTCAATAATTTGATGTCCTTGCATCTCATATCTCTTGAAGACGTGGGATTCTTAATGATACAAATTCATGAAATGAAAAAAATTTGGAGGGCAGTTTATTTACACTCCTTCAGGTACCATAATCTAATTTATGATGATGCAGAGACCTCAAAGCAAAGAGATACTGAGATACCATCTGATTAGCCCACTGCCTTTGGGAAATTCAACTACTGAGTGATTTACTGGCGCACTGAGTTATATGGTATCTCTTATATGTGTGTGTTGTAAGGATTTATTCTATAACTGGCTTTTAAAAATAGAAGAAGGGAAATTTTATTAAATGAGTGTGTTTACAGGTAGAAAAGGCAGTGTATGGGGATTCATTTCCAAATGGATTTCTGATAAGAGAGCTCTTTCAAAGCCAAGGTTAAGCTCTGAAGATCCCAAGCCCAGGTATTTGTCTGAAATTCTGAAACACTCACCTTTTGGCCTGGAAGTCCATGGCCCATGGTTCCTTTTGGCCCTGGAAATCCCTGAGGTCCTTGCTCCCCCTACACAGGATATACAAATGGGTATTCCCATTAATCTCCCAGGAGGACTCAGAATAGTTTGGGAGTAAAAAATACAGAACTTCAAAACTGCACTATAGCATCATCTAAGTTTCAGCAGATGAAACAAACATAGACATAGAGATCTAGATATAGAAATAGATACAGACACAGTTAGATACCTGGGCTCAGTGGTCACCTAGTAAATACAGAACAAGTAAATCTGAGATAAAAATAAGGGCCCTGAGTTATAATCTTTGCCTTTTCTATAGCATAAAGACTCCTATCTCAGCCAGTTTCAAGCCATGAACATGTCAAGCAGTTTAGAAATAAAGACTAGCTGGTATTTCAGTTGTGGTATTAAGGGTGGCTTTTCATCTTTGCATTTTTTAAATATTTATTTGTATGTTTAAAGTACATCTTAGTAGTAGAGGAAAAGAAAATAAAACACAGTTCCACCACCACCCTTAATACTAAGGAGCTGTTTATATAATTCACTGTTAATTCTATTTCTAATAATTTATGAAAACATGCAGAACTTGTTTCCAACTTTCTCCATCATGTCTTAACATTCTCTCTTGCCCTGCCTAAATCACAGAGAGCAAAACGGCTCAAGATGTTGCATATGAAATAGCAATAATCACTAGCAAACATACAAAGTCCTAGTACTGATGTCACTCGGATCCCTACTTGACTGTGGGTCATTATTAGTGATGAGTCTGTAGGGAAGATCTGAAAGACCATGGGCTCCTGAGGACTGAGCTGGTTGTCTTTTGTCATGGTTCTCAAAGGTATCCTGACCAAATCCCCCCCCAGAATCACTAGCACACATGATAAAAATTCTAACTCCCATTCGCAACTTAATGAGAATCATGGTGGAAATAAGATAAAATATTCATTTTACCATAAGCATGGTAAAATTTGAGAGACACTACTTCTGAATGTGCGATGGGCCACAGAGTTTGCTTGGAAATGACTAACTTTGGCATTTCTGCATTCCTGAGCCACCTTTCCCTAGCTCATTGATATCAAGTTTTTTTATTAGAGTCCATTGTTTATAAAATTGCCATAAGGAGATATTTCATGCCCCCAAAGCACATAGAATAAGATAAAAATCTGATACTATATTGAAAAACAAAATAGCACAGATACAGTTGAAATCTCCTATGTACCCATCTCAATCCCATTTCCCCAAGAGAAGAAATCTATCTAAAATTTATATTTATCATTTATGTCCATGGCTTTATACTTTAATTACATGTGTATATAATAGGAAGATACATCTTTTACAGACGGGAAGGGAACCGAGAGATGGAGGGAGGGGGAAAGGAAGGGAAAGAAAGGGGACTTAAAAAGAATTAAGATGTGTTATGTACATGTACCTGCTCCCCATGATGACCGTAACATTATGTACTGCTAGCATGTACCACAAAAAATTAAAATTAAAAAAATTTAATTAAGTGATATATTCTCTGAAATTTATCTGTGTACATGTGTATGGCTTTATTTTGTTAATTTTATCTCCTGAATGGTATTCCATTGGAGAGCTGGATTACAGTTTATCCATGACCCTATTGATGGGCATTTTAGTTATTTCCAATATTTCTATATCCAAAATAATGCCTTAAGGGTCTGGGGATTTAGCTCAGCGGCACAGCGCCTGCCTGGCAAGCGCAAGGTCATGAGTTTGATTCCCAGTACCAGAGAAAAACCAAAAAAAAAAAAAGCCAAAGTTTAAAAGCGCCTGCCTGGCAAGCACAAGGTCGTGAGTTCGGTTCCCGGTACTAGAGAAAAACCAAAAAAAAAAAAAATAATAATAATGCCTTAAGGAATATTCTTTTATGTACCTTTGCAGATAGGAGAAAACTCTTACATCAAAACAAATATACAGAAGAGTATAAAGTAAAATAAATACAAGTAAATAGTCTCTGAAGTTGCAATGAAATGCCCCATTTAGGAGTCCTAACCTCTCACAAACTAATGTAACTAAACTCTGAGGTTCTTTTTATCCACTGACAAATTGTATTTTTTTTAACATTCAGGTTTTTTAAAAAAATATATCACATTGCCTATCATCTGTATGACACCTGTATTAGTCATGTCATCTTTGGAAAGAGAACAGATTTCTTCAAGGGTTGTTTTTACTTAACATTCAGGGTTTTTTTTTTTAATATTCAAGGTTTTTTTTTAACATTCAAGTTTTTTTTAACATTCAGGTTTTTGGTTTTTTTTGGAGATGTATTTTTAAATGAATTACAAGTATGGGGTTATACTCTTGCCTCCCCAGCTTACGCAAAAGAGCTTCAAACAAGTTCCTTGCAATGACCAAACTATACAGAACTTATTCCCCAAGTGTATTTCCACATTTGGTATCCTCTGAGCCAAGGCCAATGCTCCAACATAGTAGGTCCCCCAGTGATGTTTATATAGCACTGCACAATTCCTGGGCCCACCTAGGGAACTCACCCTGAGGGGAGGATTTCCTCTCCCACTTGCTTAGCTGCTTAATGGGGACAGGTTGTTGATCTTGATTCAGCTGACATTTGAGAGAGAATAAGCTTCTTCCACCAGGAAATCTGGAGATATTACAAGGTCCAGAACTTTGGGAAGGGACTGGTACCCATGAAATATGCCTTAAACATTAAAACACTTAGATTCCAAGCTGAAGATTCAAGCAGAAGAAAACATAGGCAAGAAATCTGTTCTCTTTCCAAAGATGACACTACTGATACAGGTGTCAGACAGACGATAGGCAATGTGATAAACTGTGGTGTCAACTTGAATAAGAAACACCCAGCTGATAGGCTTTGCATAGTTCTGGGTATAGATGACGGACTTACTGAAGAGGGAAGACCCTTCCTGGGTGTGGGTGGCACCAACCAATAGGCTTGCAGCCTGGATAGAATGAAAAGGGAAAGAAGGAAGTCTCGCTTCTGCTTTTTCAGAGGAGCTCCACCCTTTGCCACCGCCTTTGGACATCGTCTCCATGCCCCAGTGCAGACTCTTCAGCCTTTTAGCGACTCTTCAGCTTTCTCAGATGGACTCTCACAGGACTCTACAGTGCGTGGCAGGCCTTTGACTTTTGACTGGCTCCTTCAGATCTCCAGCACACAGATGGCCCTTTTGTACTCTTCCACACCTGACTCTGCAAGTGGTCACTGTAAACCTACCTTGTAAATCTATACATATACATATACACGTACACATACACAGATAGATCTTATATTAAATCTGTTCCTAAGTGGGAATGTACCTCCCTGCACTCACTGTACAGAGAAACTTCATTGTACGCCCTAGAAAATATGCCCTAGGAGGAGGACATCTGCCCCTTCACCTGGAGTATGAAGGCCAGAAGGGTCTGCTTGGTACAGACCAGGTGGCTGCCAGGCCTCCGAGTGTCATGAGAGCCCTGGGAAAATACCTTCTTGAGATACTACTGTCCTCTATTCTAATTTTTTATGAAGACGTGTATTAGAAGAAAGGTATACCCTTAAGAAAGATGTCTCAGTAAAGGACATTTTTGTGAGTTTGTTCCCTCAGATTTCTTGTGAATGAGGATGTTTTCACTCAATGAGGTGCACAGCAGACAGGTAGCTTTGGGTTGTCATGGGGATATTTCAGACTGTGGGTACATGATCTGGTGTACCCAGGAGGGTTCCTGGCTTGGTATAACAGAAACTTAAAATTCATGGAAAAATAGAATGAACAATGGTTGGCTTTGTCTCAAGCCCAAAGAGCAAACAGAGAAACACCGAAAGACTGTGTTATAATGGTGAATTCTCACTAGAAAGTGTATCTTAAGATGAAATAGGTCCAGGAGGAATTTGACATCTTTATAACAATTATTCAGACTAATTATCTTTTTTACAACATTATAGATCTCTACAGCAGCTAATACAAAATTTGTTCAATAAAAGTTTATGACTAACTAGCAGCCTTTCAGAAGTTATACAGTTCCCTAACAGTGATAAAAGCAATTGTGGCTGATTTACCACATCTTGAGGGAAAACTCTGAGAGGAGCTAATTATCACATTGGGACCAGTTCTACGTTCAGGAATTTATTTTGTATTACTTTGCAGTATGAACTTTTTCTGTATAATTATTAACACTGTAGATATTTCAGACAGCTTGGTATCTTACAGTTAAGTTTTTTTTCACTTTTAAATTACCAGTTTCCCTTCAAAATACTTGAAAACTTCCTGTAACTTTCAGAGACTTCTTAGCTAAAAGCCTTTAGCAAGTAAACTCAGGCCTTAGCTTTGCAGACGTAAATACCATCCCATCAGATTTCTTTCTTTGTAAAACTCAGAAAAGTTGTAAACAGTGATTTCAGTATGGGCCACAAGCCACTACAGGAAAGGACCTCTCTACTGGAAGATATAATTAAATCAAAATTTCAAACCTTACTTTTTAATTACTACATCACTGTATCCTACTCTAAAATTGGTCCTGTTAAAAATGTGATCATTTTCAGATGATCGCCGGCTTATTCTTCAAGAAAGAAACTACTTGAATGTTTTAATACGTTTTTTACTTTTGCATTATTGGTATTACTGGTATATCAGGAAATAACGATTTTTCTTTCTAAGGATTTTCTTTTTTATCACTTTTGACTTTTTTATTTTAAAGAGAAGAAAAATAAATAATAAAAACAATGGTATAAAATTTCAAAACAAGATTGTAGGAGAGTAAATATTTTCCTAGTAAGGTACACTAAGAAAAAAAATCATATACATAAAGATTATTTTAAAAAATGTAAACCAGACACATGGCTTCTGCTCATAAAAAAGTAAAAAATCCTTTTTTTTTTTTTTTTTTTTATCTTTTTGAGACAGGGTCTCACTATCTGGTTCAGGCTGGCCTTGAATTTGTAGCCCAGGCTGGTCTCGAACTTGCAACAATCCTCCTGCCTCAGCCTCCTGAGTGCTGGGATTACAGGTGTGTGCCACCATGCATGGCTCAATCCTCTCATTTGTAAACAACAAAAAAATGCTAACTTATC